CCCGCCGAAGCTCCGACGTCGCCGCCGACGCCGAAGCCCGGCGGCCCGCGCCGGGACGAGCTCCGCCCCAGCGGCTCTCGCTCCGAGAGCGGGGAGCTACGGAGCGCTCCCCGAGTCTGCATTTAGGGGGACGAAGGCCCCTCCCGCCCGGACGGGCGGGGCCGGCCTGCGAGGCGCCCCAGCCGCGCCGCCGGGGAACGCGCCCCCGGCCGGCGATTGATCGTCAAGCGACGCTCAGACAGGCGTAGCCCCGGGAGGAACCCGGGGCCGCAAGTGCGTTCGAAGTGTCGATGATCAATGTGTCCTGCAATTCACATTAATTCTCGCAGCTAGCTGCGTTCTTCATCGACGCACGAGCCGAGTGATCCACCGCTAAGAGTTGTCTGACTTTCGGCACCGCCCCGCGCGCGCGGAGGGGCCGGGACCGCTCGCGTCGAGCGGCCCCTCGTCCGGCGAGGACGTCGCGCCTCGCTTGACCGCACGAGCACAACGCGCACGAGCGAAGGAGAGGCGGGGGGAAACCCCGCCGGGCTCCCGAGGACGACGCCGTAGGCGGGGAGCCCGCGCTCCCGGCCGAATCCCCCCCTCCGGCGATCGACGGCGCCGCGGGGGAGAAACGCGCCTCGCGCCGCCTCGAGAGGCGGTCCAGGCGCCCGGGCTCGGCCCGGCCTCCGCGCGGAGAGCGGCGGCGCGCGCCGGACCGCGCGCCGCCCGTCCTCCCGGCCCCGCCGGGACGACGCGCCCGCGGCGCGGGGCGCGACCCTCGGGCCGCGCTCGCCGCTCCTCCCTCGCCTTCGCGGCCGCCCGACGCCGCCCCCTCGGGGCCGCGGGCAGAGGCCGCCGCCTCGCCGGCGGACCGCCGCGCCGCCCGGACGAGCTCGGCGGACGGCTCCGCCGCCTCCGCCGCCGGCCGGGCGGGTCGGCGCCGGCAACCCGAGCCGGCGTCGGCAGCGCCCGAGGCCGGCCGGACGACGGCCCGCCGCCGCCGCTGGCGCGGAGGCCCTGCCGGCACCACCGCCGCCGCCGCTCGGCAACCCTCGACCCCCTTTCGGCGGCCGCGCGCCCGGCGGAAGGCGGGCGGCGCTCGGCCGGGGGGGACGAGGCCCCCTCGGCCGCCGCCGCGCCGCTTCGCCGCGGGCGCGGCCCCCGGCCGGGGCGACGGGCGAGCGACAAGCGGGGCCCGGCACGGCGCTACCGCCGACGGCGGCGGGCGACCCCCGGCCGACCGTCCCCGCTCGGGGGACACGCGCCGAGCGGCGACGCCGCCGCTCGGAAGCCGGCGCCCTCCGCGGACGGACGGCCTGCGGGGACGGGGACGCCGCCCGCCGGCGCTCGCCCGGGCGGGCGGGCGGTCGCGCGGCTCGGCGGCGGCCGCCTGCCGCCGCCTCGGGGGGGAGGCCGACGGCCGCGAGACGAGAAAGGAGCGCGGCGGGCCCGGCGGCCGCCACCCGCGCCGCCCCCGGCGGAGGGCACGCGCCCTCCGCCGCGGCGGCGGTCGCCCGTGGCGGGGGGGGCGGGCGGGACGGCGCGCGGCCGACCGCGCGCCGCCGCCGTCTTCTCCGCCGAGACCGGACCGCGGAGCGGGGGGGGCAGGGGGCCCCGCCCCGGCACGGCCGCCCGCGCGGCCGGCGGGACGAGCGCGGCCGGCGGACGCGGCCACCACCGCAGGGGATCGGCGGGAGTAGGCTCCCCACCCCTCAGTGGCACCGCGCCGCCGCCCGGCCCGCCGCCGCCCGGCCGCCGGCGTCCGGCCGCCCGAGTCTTTAAACCTCCGCCCGGCTCTCCCGGCGGCTCTCGGCCCCCCGGGGGCTGTCACGCAGCCCCGGGGGGGGCTCGCCGGTCGCCCGGGCGCCGAGCGCTAGGTACCTGGCCCTGGGACGAGGGAAACGACCTGCATGGCCCCGCGGGGGTGCCTCCCCCGCTGCCGCCCTCGGGGGAGCGTCCGCCCGCGGGGGCGCGCCCGACGTCCGCCACCACCACCGCCGCCTCCTGGCTCGGGGACCGGGGTTTCCCTCAGTAGCCCGGCACCGCACCCGAGAGGACGCCTGCGGCTCGGACCGCCCCGCCGGCGCGGGGACGGCCGACCGGCGACGGAGCTCGCCCCGCGCGCCACACGCGCCGACGACGGACGGCGGCGGACCGCCGCCGCCGCCGCCGGCGCGGAGGACCGCGCGCGGCCCGGAACGCCCCGCCCGGGCCCTCCTCGCCCCGCCGCCCCTTGGGCCCGCTGCGGGCGGAGGGTCGGAGGAGCCGCCTCCCCGGAAGGCGCCCCGGCGCCCCCCCTTCGCTTTCTCGCTTTCGGCCGTCGCTCGCCGGGCGCCGGCGGCGCCGCTCGCTCCGCGCGCGCCCCGGGGGCCGCCCGCGCTCGCCGCTTCCGAGCCCCCCCCCGCCCGCTCGCCCGCGCGCGCGGGGGGAAGGACGGGGAAGCGACCGAGGCGCCGACGGGCGGGGCGCGGCGGTGGCGGCGGCGGCGGGACGCCGGCCGCCGAGCGACGAAAGA